CTCCTTTATAGGTAATCAAATATTTTATTAATCATGGATAATACACAGAAGGCATATTATAAATTAATACAAGAGAGAAACAACATGAAATTGAGCTACCCGTCTACACGAGGAGTAGCTACGTCATTAAACCAAGTATATAGTATCAAATAAAATAATTCTTTAATCTGCTCTGTTGTCCGTGTATGATCGTCAAAACAGCGACTATTTCTCTTCCTTCACATACACCAGATAATGCAACTTGGGATAAGGTCTCAAATAATCTTGCTATCTTTATTACGAAATCTACTCCTTCTTCATGCCTTCAATACATCCTCCATATACTGCGGAAACACCCAATTCAAATGTTGAGAAGCTAGAATATCGTTCCACAAGAAACGAGCATCGTCACAATGAAGGAACAAGTGGTCAATCATCTCTCCATTCCTCCTACACATATAACACCATTCTATAACATAAAAGCCCCTCAATCGGAGGTTATCCACCGTTAACATTTGTCCCCTCACAACTGTCCATAATAAAAATGCCACCCGAGAGGACAATTTATATCGCCATACCTTCTTCCAGGGGAATGAACTCTCCTCAGGTTCTAATAAGGATCTAAAGTAAGCTCTAAGGATCTAAAATAAGAGCTTACTGAGAAAATGTCATCATGTGTCAACCTCCACCTGCTACAATCACTTTCTCCTACCCTGACTTGCACCTTGTACAAAGAGTTCAGGAATAGGGCATAATAATCCAATTCCCAGTCCTGTAGACCCTTTCCAAAAGCAATGTTCCAGCTGTGATTTTCATTATGCATATGTAAGACTTCATTCACCATAGCATGTGGAAAGTAATAATATAGGTAAGGATACTCCACTCTTAACGATCGATCTCTACACCAGCAATTTTTCCAGAATCTAATAGTATTGCCATTCCCCACCACATATGTCAATCTATCTTGAAATTTTCTTTATCTTCGTCGGATATACTTCCACAAACTCACCCCATAAGAACCACGATCCTCGACTGGGCACCATCCCCCCTCTAAAACACTATATTTCACCTCTATAATTTCTCTCCAAAAGCTCTCCATCTCCACACCGAATCGCCACAATCACTTATCCAGCAAGGCCTTATTAAACAATACAAGACTCCTCAATTCTAGGCCCCTTATTTTTATGGGAGAACACACTTCACCCTCGTTAACTAAGTGAAGTTTCCTCTCCTCCCCATAGAAACTCCCTTTGAATCCTCTCTAATCTTTTTGCTACTGAAACGGGAATAGGAAACAATGACAAGAAGTGGGAAGATTCGACAGAGTGGGCTTAATGAAGGTGAGACGACCTTCATTTTGAGAGGTATATGTTGCTTCCAACCCACTAACCTTCTCTCCACCCTTTTCACAATACTGTTCCAAATGTTTATATTTTTAAATCGCGCTCTTAAGGGGAGCCCAAGATATAACATAGGTAGTTGCACAATCCTACAACCCAATATGACCGCCAACTCCTCTACAGTATCGACATCCCCTACCGTGATAGCCTCAGATTTTCCCAAATTAATTTTCAATCCAGATACAGCTTCAAAACATAGTAGCAGATGATGCAAGTTCCTAAAGTGCTCAGCCTCTGCATCACAGAAGATCAATGTGTCGTCTATAAATATCAAATGAAATACTTGCAATCGGTTAATCATAAAGCCCCTCAACAGACTTTCTTTCACAACATTCTAAAGCATCCTACCGAAAGCCTCCATAACAATAACAAACAACAAGGGAGACAACGGATCCTTTTGCCTCAAACCTCTACTACTCCGGAAATAACCCTCAGGAGTGCCGTTTACCAAAACTAAATAGGAGACTGTAGATATACAAAATTGAAACCAATGGCACTAATTATCCTTGAAGTCACGTCGCCTGAGCATATACAAAAGGAATCCCCATATCACATTGCCTTCTAAAGATCTGATATCTATAGCAAGTCAATACTTGGGGAAGTTAACTTCTTGGGCTTGCCTGAGTTGTTCTTCTTCTTCTTCAGTTTTTTTGCGACTCCTTTGTTTGGTGGCACTTATATCAACTGTTACTGTCTCCTTCCTATAGTTCGAGTTTTTAGTTTTTCTTCTGAATTAATAAGTCTCATGGACTATTTTAAGAGGGATAAGTAACTACTTCAAAAAGAATTAGGTGAATCGACAGAAACAATGATTATTGATTTTTTTCTCGCTGTGGACTCATTAATAGTCGATATGGTCTAAGTGGTTTAGTAAATTTAAAATCCCAATTTTATCAATCTTAGTTTGCCTTTTAGCCGGAAGTAGTTAATCAAGTCAGTTCAAGCCTAGACTTTGACTTTAAGCCTTTGCAGTATTTTTGTTAAAGTAAAATAATATAGTTCGGGAAAAATCTTATATATATACATACACATACATACGTATGAAATATCAAATAATAGTTTGGGATAATACAGAGTTTTGACTAAGAGATAATTTGAGAGTTTGAATTTGAGTCATTGTTCTTCCAATATTTGTTACCTTAAAGCACGTTCAAGAAGCCCCTTAGCATCTTTGTTCAACTCTCATATTTCACACGCTACTTTACCTCTTTCATACCAAAACTTACATACACAGCACGATAGTGGGACTGATTTTGCAAGAAAAAATGAGAAGTTGGTACTTTGAGGCTGTCAGGGTCAAATAAGGCATAATTTTTCTTTAATTGCTCTCAAGTTTAAGATAGGATACCTAGATGTGCAAGTTATTTGTCCCTTTACAATGTTATTTACATTTTGTGATCTTTATATATGAAATGTTAATTGACCCATTCATATCCTAAGCTGAAATGAAATGCGAAATTTTTTCAGCTTCTCGAAAGACTACACAAAAATGTATTAGAGTGCTTGATTGTTCATGATTACTTTCAATGAAATGGTGGTATGAAATGTCATGCTTGTTTTTAATATTGTAATATGATATTTGGATTTCACGTATTTTACTAAATGTTTACGCACACTCTTTTTTTAATTTACAAACTTCCGCATTAGTCGGGCTTGCAGAGATGTGTGGCTGACCAGTAGAATAGGGGTACTAATGGGATTTTGTGATATTGACATCATCATGCAGAAATATGATGCAGAAGTCCCTTGGCAAACCTATTCCACTACGAAACTATGCATAACCATGAGAATTTTATAATATTGAAATTGTCATGTGATACAGAAGTCCCTTGGCAAACCTATTCCACTACGAAACTATGCATAACCATGAGAATTTTATAATATTGAAATTGTCATGTGATACAGAAGTCCCTTGGCTAACTTATTCCACTGCGCAACTATGTATACCCATGACTTGGACTAATCTGAAAGTTTATTTAAAGGAGTGAGTTTTTTGCAACGCTTGATAAGATATATGCAATTCAATTACAACATTACAATATTAAATGTAATGCAAATCACAACATTTTATACAACCATTTCATTGAGAGCATTTGGTGATGAATCAAATACTCTTACACATTTCTTAGTAGTCTTTTGAGTCTCTCGAAGGAATCTTGCTTTTCATTTTGATGTAAAACCCATATGTCTATTAGCATTTCATGAATGAACATCACTAAAATAACATAATGTTGTAAATAGACAAACCAATTGCACATGTTGGTATACTACCTTAATACCATCATTTATTCCAAAATAAGTCACACTAAAGTGGCTTTTTTGTGTGTGTGTGTGTGTGTGTGCGCGCGTATAGAGATGCAATGAGATATATTGAATGAACCATTATTGGAAGAAACGAGCTAAAATTCAAGACCTCAATTTATGTCTTAGTCAAATTTTGCATTATCCCAACTCTACTTTCGAGGTGAGGATGAAAAGTATAATTTCTCTAATACCCTTGCTTGAGTTGTCTTGTATAGTTATACTTCAAATTTCAAATATAATAATTGATTCTTCTTCAAAAATTAATTAATTAATTTCGTAACACTAACTTTTGAATTTTAAGCAAAACTAGTGTAACATATCCTAATAAGAATGGCTTATTTAGCGCTTGTTTGAGCCCCATTTTCAGTGAAGAATGTATTTTGAAATTATAGATTGTTGGAGAATGTGTGGTCGAAAAATAGGAAAAGGTTATGACTTTGCGTGTAATATTATTTTATTTAAAAATGTGTGGTTGAAAAGAAGGGAGAGAAAAATGTATTTTGGATATAATGGGGATCAAATAAGGACTTAATCCATCTACGTCTTACTCCATAGTACACAAGGAAAACCCAGGAGGAACTCCATTGAAAATGATTCTGCATTTCTCTTCTCTTTCATTTCTAAGCTCCTCTAAGCTCCTCACTTAGCTTCTTAGTTGCTTTTTTTTTTTTTTTTTTTTTTTTTTTTTTTTTTTTTTTTCTTCTTAATTTTTTTTTAGAATTTGTTGGAAAAATGAAAGCAATTAGTAAAAGTTAAAATCACCTAATCAGCGCATACTATTAGCAGAGGCCCTCCACTACCTCACATTTGTCCAAGAAATTCTACAAAAAATAAAAATAAAAGAAGAGAAGAGAAGAGAAATGAAGTGAAGTGAGGAGCTCAAAAAGAAAGAAGGGAAATGGTGTACCATTTTGAATGGAGTTCCTCCTATGGGTTTTCCTTTTGTAGAATAAGACAGGGAGTTAAGAGTAAATGAGATAAGCCATTTGATTACAAATTGTTAAGAATTTGATAATGATTGGCTAGTTTTTCTTACCAATAAGTACTTTTTTTTTTCACCTTTTTTCAAAAATTAATTCATTTTTGTTAGAAATTAATTATTTTACTTTGACAAGAAAATATTACATGGGCTTCATTCTAGGCTCCTCTGCTAAAGGCCAAACTAAGATTGATAAAATTGGGCGTTCAGTTTTATTAGACCACTTAGATCATATCAACTATTAATGAGTTCAGTGCTAATAAAATTAATAATCATTATTGAAGATAACTAAAACGAAATTTCCGGGGCGCTAAAAGAGAGCAACGTAAGTCCTTGTTTGAGCCACATTCTTGTTAAAAAAAATGCATTTTTGAATAGTGTATTGAAGGAAAATTTGTGGTTAAAAAATTAAGAAAAGTTTTGGATTTGCGTGTTATATTATTTTAATGAAGAATTTTTGGTTGAAATAAGATCAAATTACTGTTGAAAAATGTATTTTGAGCTCAAACAAGGGCTAAATTTGTATTCTTTAATTTGCTCTTCATTATGCAAGGAAGATATATTAGGGCACGAGATATTTGTGCCCAATTAACTCATCAATTCCAATCACATTATTGCAATCCCCAGTTATAATTATATATCTTGCAGGTTCATTTTTCCCATATCCATGTTTAGTTTAGTAGTCTCTATCAATTTTTTGCATAGTTTTTCACGCTTGGCAACTGGCTTGTCTAATGGATTAATTGGTATTGCTACTTTCTTTGTATCTTGGTGATTTCTTTTTTATCGTTTATTTGTAATCAAGAAGGAATCTGATATCACGTGACAGTTTCTTTTTCTTTCCTCTTCATGATCAATTATTCAATTACTCAATGTAATTTTCCTTGGAAATGCAGGTTTTTGGTGACAAAGCATTTGATAAATTTGGCAAGGGATTCATTTCACTGCATTTTTCTGATCAACACTTGGGATCAAACAAGAAGATGCTGGTGTTGAAGTTTGCTCTTCCAGATGCTGATCACATGGCTGACATGAGTCGATTGGTCGCTCTTGTACCATATTACATCGACCTGATTGGAAGATACAAGCTCAGCTCCCAGGCGAGAAATTATATATTTAGTATAATTAACCTTTAAGTTTCATGATTTTTCTAAACTATAAAACATTGTGTCTCAGGCTCGATCTAAAACAGAAGCAGCTAGATTGAAAGTTGCTCAAGAGATTTACAAGGAACTTCAAAATGCCAGGCAAGAAGCCTTGCAGCAAAAGAAGGCGGAGCAGAGAAAGAAACTGGAAGAGGCTCTGTCAAAACAAAGCACGGAGGCTCTTCGCAAGAAAGAGGCAAAAGAGCGTACTCGCCAATTGAAAAAGTTCGCTCCTAAATTTAAGATAACCCGGGCTCATTAGATCCTAAGTTAGCCTGATACTGCAATAGAAATATACCTAGTACTTATCATTTTCTGAAATCTTTTACATTTAGTTAGCACTTAGTGATTGGCTGTAGGTAGTGTCGATTCAACCATTACCAATTCTCTCTGGTTTTTGAATGTAATGTTATCTCTAATTTAACGAATCCGTAGTTTCCCTTAGCAATATCTTTGTTGCATTTGGGAACAATTTTTGAGATTTACATGGGAATTAGATAGGATCGAATTGCCGGAGGCGGTCTTTGTGAGTCTTTAAATAAACTCTAGAAGTTAATTTTGCAGAACTCATCTTAATGAAATGATTCTTATTTTTCGTTTAATAGTCTGAAAAATGAGTAATTTACTTTCTTTTCTCCAGTGCATTTTTATTCTTTCGATCTTAACTTTTTGCTGAATCATTAGATTGAACACAATTTTGTTAAACTATTTCTGTACTTGTAGCAAAATTGTAATTGTCATTGATGATCAACGCAAATGACTGACGGGTATACATTTTTTATGCTTTATCAGCGGAGTGTTGCTACATAAAATCATAAGATCGATGGATTTTATATTAGCATCTGAACACACATCATAGTACTGAAATTCAAGGCAGAAACTTACCCCTCAACCCGTACTTCTTTATGTAATGGTGATTGTAAAGTAGAACTTTCGCCTTGCAAAATTAAGATTCAAAGGTAAAAAAAACATGGCAATGGCTAGCTGCACGAAGGCTCACCTAGCTCTCCATATTGTTGAGGGAAATTAACATACGGCTTCAGATCATTTGGACTTCGTTCTCCCCCCTCAACAAAGTAGAAACCATCACTCCACTCTCGGATCTCGTTGATTTGATAAAGGTCTTCCACCCTCGCCCAGGCGAGGAACACGATAAACCACCCAACTTTACAAGGGTGGTAGACAGGGCAGAATAGCTCGACGGGCATTTCCCCTGTCTAGCTCTGCCATTTGCAAAGCACGAACACCCTTGCCATTTGATGTTACTTGTGAAGGGCTGATTCAAGGGTGGAGGGAAGGGGGACAGACAACTCAAATAATTTTGTAAATTATAAAAAAATCTAGGTGCTGTTTGGGCACACTTTTTAGCCAAAATTAAGTGATTTTCTGACCGTTGATACGTCCAACGGCCACATTTTCACGTTCTTACTGATATGGGAATAAATAGACTGACACCCATGTCTGTTGGTTTTTTCCATTTCTACCCTCACAATTAAAACACCAAACCAACCCTCATTTCTCTGTCATCTGCGAAATGAAAAAGCAAGAGACGCTCACATTTTGCCCTCCTCCACTGCACGAAGTTGCCGACACCACTCCTTCTAGGGCTGGACATGGTCCGATTCTGTTCGATTCTAACGAGAACCGAACCGACCCAAAATTTTCGGGTATTTAGTAAGTGGAACCGTCGGGTCCAAATTTAATTACGGAACCGTTCTGGTTCGGTTCCGTTCGGTTCGGTTCGGTCCGGTTCGGTTCCATTCGGTTCCGTATTATAATTAAATTTTTTAATATATACAAAGTTACGTTAATTTAATTAATGATATATTTAATATGAGCTCTTACAAAATAACGTAATTCAATTTTATGTGTTTCACGTCTCTCTTTGTTGAGTTCTTCATAAATTTGATTATTAAAATCACAGAAAGAGAAAGATAGCGAGCTCAAAATAATTAAGAGAGATGTTGTAGAGTTTTAATTTGCTTTTCTCCGTTAAAAATGACACTACAGTAGAATAACAGATTTGGATAAAAAATTGAGGTCAATTTGATTAAGTCGATTTTGAACTCAATATTAGAAATAGGAAAATCATATTTTGTGGTTTGAACTAAATTAACTAGTTAACAAATTTATTTAGAAAAAATAAAATAATTTTACTTATTTAAAATAAATTAATTAAAAAAATTACAGAGATTCGGTTCTTATTCGGTTCTTCGGGTCTTGGCCTAGAACCGACAAGAACCGAGAACCGAACCATACCCGTCGGTTCTTGATTCAAATACCCGTTCGGGTATTTAACTTGAGAAGAACCGTCGGGTTCGGTTCTGTTCGGTTCGGGTTCGGTTCGGGAGTTTTGTCCAACCCACACCACTCCTCCACTGGACGACGCTGCCCACACCACTCCTCCACTGGACGAAGTTGCCAACATTAATTGCTCTTCGGTGACAACAATATCTGTTACTTTTGTTGTTCGACGGTGAGAAAATAATGTTCCGACAGTCGGCAACAGTTTCTGCAACAACCCAGTCGCCCCCACCCTACTCCGACGACTTTAGCGGCGGGTTGATGGCGCCCTGCCAACAGCTTCAACCCCCAATATGCCTTGACGATGTTCGCTTTCTCCGGCCACCGATACAAGCGACTCCACAGTCACAATCGACGTCCCCGTAGATCCTCATTCTCGTGCGACATCGTAGGTAAGCATCTGTGTCTTCGATCTCTACTCGTTCCCCTTGCACGTTCCTCACTCGTCACCAATCTATACATTTCTTTGGACTATTTGATTCACAAGCAACTGGCATAAAAAAATTACATTTGCACCTGAGGTTGAACTGCAAAAGGCGCTCCCAGTTTCTCCGGCACACACACGGGCTATTGTTGGAAAATAATTTGCTCACCTAGAGAGAACCACCATGGACCCTGTCGTTTCCCCGATACGGTGGAGTGCCTCGAACATTTTGTTCATTTTTTTGTTGACTGTAGATTGCCGTGAACGGTTGCTTCTGCTGATGGAGACTAACATTTTTTCCTCCCAATTTGTAACAGCCAAATTACCACCCACACCCGAACTTTTCCACATCAAACGCCTATCATGTTGACAGCAAATCGGGGCCTCGTAAGCATGCACAATGGACTGACTATGAGACGCAAATTTTTGTCGTCGCCTGTGAGACCATAATCGCCGATGGACACCGAAATGGGAAGTGCTTCACCAAATACGGATGGCAGACATTGGTTCACTTATTTAACACCAACTCTGGGCACAATTGGAGCAAGCAGCAGCTAAAAAATCAATGGGATGCACTCCGCTTGAAACGCAAGAGATTCGAAAAATTGATCAACAGCAGTGGCGTTGCGTACGACACGTCCACTAGCTTGATGACGGAGTGGTGGGATCAAAAGATGAAGGTATCATCATATACTCCTCAGTAATAGCTAGTATCAGAAAAAATTGAGTAATTGGTATCCAAATTCGAGAGGCCTCATTGATTCCAGAACCTGCTCTCCTTGAACTATAGTGAGGCATATGTTATATCTGTATGTGGCAAGTCTATATAATTTTGTTCTTTCTGTTGAATGATTGAAGTGAACGCACTTTGTTGAATTAAAGTGAATGGAAATGTATTGATCTTGGACAAAATGTTGTACATTTTTATTGATAGGAGATGCATGCCCATGATTTGGATGTTTTATACACTTTAAACCTTATTATAACACTAATTCTACCATATAAAGTGAATTGTTATTTATGGAATTGGCTAGGATTATGAGGGCTCTCTACCGAAGAATGGGTTTAATGTATGCTTCTGGGTCCAAGTTTTTACATTTTATAGCCCGTGCGTAACTTTGAACCTTGAGATTAAAGTTGTGTCAATACACTGTTATATACCCCCAAATGTTGGATATCTACTGGCATTAATTTATTTTATTTAGTGGACAATTTTTTTGTTTAAATTTATATAATCTATTTATTTTTCTAGGTTTCTGCTTGCTTTGTTTCACAAACATATATTTGTTGTTCATGATTGAAATCCTTGTTGCAGGATTGGACTGATTATTGTAATTGTGTTTATGTTTCATTTACACATTCATGTGCATGGGTAGGAATGACTGACATTGTTGTTATTTTCTGAAATAGATGCAATCCCAATTTTTTTCAGTCAATTGTAATTGCTTCTTTCACACTTCGTTTGCAAAAGATGTGAACCTCGTCTTTTTGTATTGCTTCAGGAGAGGAAAGAGTACAAGGACAAGGATTGCTGAGAGTTGTACCTATACAAGGTTTTATTCGGGGATGTCTTCGACTGCGATAAGTACGCAGTCACACCAAGCCAAGCATGTTGCACTGGCTTCACCATGTTCGAAGATAGTGCACACGAAGACCAATGTGACGAGATCCCAGTCGATGTAGAGAGTAGCGGCTCCAGTGATGAGGGCGAAGTAGCCGCACCCTGCTTGGCGGCCAAGGATGAATCCGGCCCTCATAGCAGGGACAAACGAAAGGCTGTCGGGAAGCGATTGAAGGAGAAGAGGAAGAAGTTTTCATCTCAGGACGTGTCGTACTCTGTGGACCTTGCTACCTCCGCCAGTAAGAAGATTGCTGCAAAAATAGACCACTTCATCGGAGCGGCTGTGTCCAACCCGAAGACATGCATGAGCGAGTTGCTGGCTACGGGTCGACTCCAGAAGCAAACGGATCTGTACCTTTACACGTGCAAGTTCCTTTCGAAGAGGGCCAATAGAGAGGTATTGGACATGCAAGACAATGCAAACGACAAGTTTGCTTGGGTGGAGTGGAGCTATCAGGAATATAGAAAAACACAGCCGTGGTGATTTATGTTTGTGTAGATTGCATACATGTCCGTGGAGCGTTTCAAATCTTTCTTACTATTTTTTACGCTTACATGTACTATGTTTGATGTGACGACATTTTGTTTGTGTCTAGTATGTATGGGGGACAGTTGCCTAAGTTTGCTTTTTGCAGTTGAAACGTTTATTTTCACATGCGTGCGAAAAGTTTGATTCTTGTAGATTACAAACAGATGTGCAGACAAACAAACTTTTGAATGTTGTTCACAATTGGGTCAAACAAGTGCTCCATTAATTGGTGGATGGTCACATCAGTCCCATCTTCACATAAATTATTGGTTGCCCTGACCATAGCTTGAAAGACAAATCGTTCTATAAAAGGCACATAAATGCAGTAGAAGTTTACAACATGCAAAAGCCATAGTGTTGGATATGATATTGTGATTGTGATCATATGGCACATTTAGATTTCACTTGCGAGTTGCACCCGACCTTCGATGCGGAGGACGAACAAGGCGACGAGGCATTCATGGAAGAATTGCAAGTGGACATTATGGAGTGGTTTCGGTACTGTCTAATGAATGAGGTCACTATCAAAAACTACTATCGCGAACAAAGCACTCGTGTTTTGGGATATTCGTTCGCGCGAAATGGTTATATGTTCATGTTGGACGCAATGAACTGTAGTCCTCAACAATGCTACGTTGAGTTTCGCATGTATCCCGTCATGCTGTGAGCGTTCGCACATATGCTACGTGACGAGTACGGGCTTCTTAATTATCAGCACTTA